CCTATGGAGACAATCTTGGGTTGGTAGGGTTTAGTAGAGAGGATCTGGGAAGGGATTCTGAAGATGCAGCAAGTCTCTCTGCCAGCTGATCTCTTGAGAAGCTTTGGTGACACACGTTTTGAAAGTAATTCTCAACTCCGCGATGATTCATAGCCTCAATTTTTCTCACAAACTTCTCCTGGACTTGCGTGGCTCACCTTCTAACTAAGTAACTAGCCTAGCTCCGACCACCAACGTTCTTCCTTAGGGTTTCACTTGGGTTCTTTTGGGAAAGTGGGCATCTTATTATTTATTGATTAATATTATCAACCGTTCGTTTCATCGAAAATATTAGAGGGTCTGAATAATAAAATGAGAAAATTTAAAAATTTCATTTAGTATATACACAGTACACTAAGCTTTCGAATTTGCTTCCGACAAAGAAAAAAGTAACCATAGACTTTGGAGGGTACGTGTTTGATTCCCAAATAAAAAGATTTTTTCTTTTGGTGAAGATGATCTATCTACAGCAGGCGGTTCAAGAAGACGGAGAAGCAGCAAACAAGGGAGAAGGATCCGAATGTGGATGATGTGAGCGATGCGTTCCAGACTTACACGGATAAGGAGATGCAGTATATGGAGCCGGAGGAGCTGCAATGGTTCTTGGCTGAGGCCACTTCTCTCGCCGATACGAAAAGGATCGTAGCAGAAGTGCTTCGCCGGAGACATTCCGTTGGTACCAGTCTCCGAAGGCAAGCTCTCACCTTCGCCTATTATCTCTTTTCCTCCGACCTTAATCCACCGGTCAGGTGATTCCTTTTCTAATTTCTGTCCGAATTACTTGTTCGCTACTCAACTATAAAGACTTGCTTTCTTCTGGAGGCATGTTTTAGCTCTGTAGCTATTATTTATAAATCTTGGTTAGCATAACTGTGATGATAGAATATTTCAATTCGAAACACTAGTTGTACAAAAGATTTGATTGAATTCTCTAATATTTTTACATGCATTCAAAAAAACTGTAATGTTTTTTCAGGTCCATCATAAAATGGATGCTCCTCTGTCACAATTCCTACTTAACTGGAAATCAGCTCAGTAGCGAGTGCAGTGACCTTCCCATTGCAGATGCATTGAGACGAGGCGTGAGGGTCGTTGTGTCTTCCATACTCCTCCATAACCATTTTGCACACTCACAACACACAAAATAAGTTAAAATACCAATTAATTTGAAATGATGGAGAATCCGTACTGAATTCTAGCAAGCAATTAAATCAGCATTATTACAGTTATTGAAATAAACTATTTGTATTACAATTATGGCTCTAAGGGTTTGTATTATTGAGAAGAAAGTATTACGTTGTAGTGCCCCTAAAGTAGATTTGATGATGAGGTAGAGTTGCTCCAATTTAGAGGTCATTTGTTTCATGTCCCCGAAGTTTGTCTGGTTAAGAGTATCAGCTGATCCTATGAAGGCTGTGCAGACCATTTGCTCAAGAAGCTGGTGAGGCCACACTGTTTCCAGGTAATGAAGAATCTGAGAAATTGTCAAGAGAATGAGGTCAAACCTAACTCTCGCAAGAGGTTATAAGCATGAATAATCTCAAAAAGACACACCTTCTCTCCCTCTCGGTTTGGGTCTAAGAGGGGCTTTTGGTCATCGGCTGGCAACGCTGGTGCATCGTTCCAACTTTTTCTCCACAGATTTCCTTGATCAGACATCCATTGAGAAAGGTGGCCACGAGGAGGCCATTTATCTTTCAAGCCTTCCGTGATGGGGCCAGGCGAATGCCATCTGATAAAGTCCTCAAAAACCGCATCTGGGTTTGCTGCTTCGAATGCTGACATGTCTGCAATCACCTTTGTGAGATCAGGAAACAAGATAGAAACAAGGAGCAAGTGATGTATGGAAGATAGGTTTACAAAACTATATGCTTCTATCTTTCCCTTACAATAGTAACAACAGACTCAAACTTAGAATTAGATGACAGAGAAGTTTAATGAAAAGTCCTACTCTGTTATCATCTCTAGACAACAGAGACTTAGATGTCTTTAACGGAAACAACAAAACGAGCAAAAAAAATGCAATCACTCAAAAATGCAATGCTCATGTGGTTAAGGTCTACATAAACCACATGAGCAGTCACATAAAATACATATACACATCTGTTAAGAAACAATAGGCCTATAGTAACGTTTTAAGTAGATAAACAAAATATATTTGCTTGGAAAGAAGTTGAGCTTACAAGGGAATCACCAAACGCCTCAACAGCCTGGAGTCTTTCTTCATGCATGTCTTCAGTCATAAGAGGTGGACCCTGTCATAGCTCAAGAAATATGAGTTTATAAACGGAAAGATAGGAAACAGAAGAGCTCAAGTAGGATACTAACTTGGGTAAATGGGGCATGGAGTCGCTGACGTGACTTCAGGAGCATCATGGTCCCCACTGGTCCAGCTGAACCCCTCCTGATGGCATCTGTTGGGCTTTGGTTCACAGAATTTGTGTGTTCAGTTATCCTCTCAAATCTGAGTCGATTAGATGTATCTTCTGCAATTGAGCTGTATCCAAGCAAAAGGGATTTAAACACTTAGCCTTGGTAAAGATTTCTTCTCTATGAGATTCAATCAAGAATTATCATAATTTTACATGGAAAATATAAGAAACGAAGAAAGTATTTGTCATAATATGCAATCAGGTTTTCATCTATTTAACAATGACAACCTAAGAGCTCTCACTTGCTAAGTTCACCTGTCACGTTTCCTCTGCAGATCTGCTTCAGAGGATTTAATTGTTCTCTTGTCGACCTTGTGGTGTTCCTGAGAATTCATTCAAAGAAATGTTTTAAGCCAACAACATAGAGGCATTGGCATTGCAAGAGTTAGTACTTCTACTGTTTTTGTTTTGGAAGGAGTGTGGAACTCCTACACTTTTCTATTTGTATTTCGGTTGCTTTGTTAATTTAATCAAACACATACTGGCAAGCAAATAACTACAAATGCACAAAATACAGAAAAAAATAGTCAATCACCTCCATAGAAACAGAAGCGTCTAAACTATCTTTCACTTCCTATACATTCTTCATTCTGTCACGCTTTTTTCAATGCAAATTGCAAGCTGATCAGCAAAGAAGAAATTGTTAGTATCTACAAGAAATTTGACATTTCCGATTAAGGATACATAAAGGGGGTTCATGAATATAATTCCTGATTCCATGAATCACAAAACAAACAGCAGAAGTGTTCATGAAGAAGGAGGTAGTACCTCTTCTTACCATCATCATCTTCTTCGAGTCTGCTCGTAGAAGCCATATAAATTGGATATCGAATT